GACAATAAAATCTTACATCATCTTTTAATTTGCATCATTTTTGATTCAGTCTCTAACTGAAATACTCAACTTTGGAGAATTTGGATACCCCTTTTCTTTCCAAATACTTAATCTTACATCATCGCCCCCAAAACAAAATCGAGCACTCCAATTGCTGGCCAATGGTGGAGATTTCTCCGAAATTCCTCGGCTATCTAACCATTGTATCTTCCCAATTGTGTGGGTTTCTTTGGTTATAATTCCACTCTAATCTATTCGATTCTATTCCGAGCTTCCTGTGCGCCTCCAGCTTGGACAATTTCCTGCTTCAATTTGTGCACGAGCTTCGAGAAACTAAACAAAACAAAATTGCTCATGATATTCAGAATATGTGTTGCTGTACCTTGGTCTGCTTACAAAAAGTTAATTATTTAATGATTTATGATAGCCAGTTGCGGCAGTTGTTGTTTCATTTCCATTATAACCAATTTGGTTTTTGGATTTTATTTATAAGCATTCGCTAAGTTTAATGAAACTTGTTATTTGGCAAATGATGTCATAGAGACAACGCCTTGAGATCATAGCCGATCTGTCATGGAACAAGAGAGGGAGCGGGAGAGACTTGGCGTCGCCAAATTAAGTTCGTGCTTAATTCCAGAGATCGTATTTAGTGGATTTATTGCCCGGTCTTTAATCACAAATTGACCCACTTAAAGCAGTTGAGAGTTCAATGAAATTGCATTTTTCGTGACTGATAAAAGAGGTTCCATTAAGCGGAAAAATAGTTAGTAGCAGAAGCCATTTAGTTGGGTACACTCTGGGTGCATTCCCGTGATCTCTAATCCAACGATACTAAAAAAGTAGCCAACGAACATGACCGACGTGGATGTGCTCAGCTCCAGGATGAAGTCGCGCCTTCACCTGCAGACCAAGACCATTGGCGCCGATCGGATCAAGAAGGCCAAGGATAACAACGAGGACATTGCCGTGCTGAGCATGTTCCTGCCGAACGCCTCCGCCGTGGAGGAGAATCGCAATTTCTATTGCCAGCTGGGCGACTATTGTCGCCTCGGCGATCCGCGCCACTCCAAAGCAGGTAACCAAAGCCAAAAGGTGCTTAATTAACAACGGATGAGACATCATAATTTATCAATATTATTGGCCGAAAACTATTCAAATTGGCCAGAAGAAAGGAACCGCCCACAGGTCCAAAGCGTCGTCGTCATCGCTATCGGTGATGGTGATGATGATGATGATGAGTAATGAATTTGCCATTTACGGAGACCCTTGGAACAGGCCAGACAAGATATCCATCCGAGGGTCTATTAATTTATGTTTCTAATGAAGAAAGACAAGCTATAAAATTTAAATAATAAAACAGAAAACTATAATCGAAATGTTTTGATTTACAAGACGTTCGAGTGTCCAAAATTGTTTAGCCTTTAAGTTCATTTTTTCTTGCCAATTATGGAAAATAATGATTTAATTTATGGTTTAATAATTTGTATAAGATTTATGGGAATATAGATAAGAGTTTTAAGTGCTTTACTCTTATAAAATACCTGTGATCTCTTTGTTAGATTGTTAGAGGAAATCTATATATTTTTCCCATAAGTAGAGCAGATATAACAGCTCATGAATTAACAACTAGTGAAATTTAATGACACATTTGGTGGAGACAGCTCCAAGACCATATGGAACAACTTACAGAAATTATTTTCCCGAGCCTGCCACAACTTTCCTCACGGCAACCGTGAATTAAAGAATAATTTTCAGACGACAGAGTCTACATTTCCACTCAATTACCCGCCCTAGCAGGGCTTTGTTCTCTCCAGAAATGGGGGAAAACTCACCTTAACTCTTGCCTGTCTGCTTATTTTTGGCCACAAACATTTCGAACACGCAATAAAGAAGCTTAGACCAGAAGGTCCTCAAGGGTTTATGTGGACTACTAAAGCGAACATAGCCCTAAATCAAAAAGCGAATGTCTGCTGTCTCAAGACTAGCCAAAAATTTGCGTAATTTCTGCATTAATTGTTATGAAAATGTCGAAGCCCCCGGAAAAATGTCGGGTGAGGCGTGACAGGCGCCCCCGCCGTGGAAAAAAGTTGCATGTCTGGCCGACATAATGTCGGAAAGTTTCTGTGTTTTTTGTTTCCATATCGAAAAATGGATGGAAGACAATCAGTGATTGAGCCCGCTGCTCTGCCCCCAATCTGTCATTTTGTCTGAAATTGAGTTTTTGCTTAAATAGAATTGATCGGAGATCCAGAGCTGGGTTAGTGGGTTGCCAAAGTTCAGGGTTCAAGGTTTCCACATTGCGGAAATTGATTTCAACTTGAATTGATTTTAACCCGATTCTCATTCCTCGCTACTTTGCAGGTACCAAGAAGATGGAGTACAAAACCAGGCAATGGCACGAGAACTGCTTCTGTTGCTGCGTCTGCAAGACGGCCATTGGCACCAAGTCCTTCATCCCGCGGGAGCAGGAGATCTACTGCGCCGGCTGCTATGAGGAGAAGTTTGCCACGCGCTGCATCAAGTGCAATAAGGTAAGTCACGTTATATATTCACTGTACTCTTAATAAGGAATTTATTTTATTATCCTTGCAGGTCATCACCTCTGGAGGTGTTACCTACAAGAACGAGCCATGGCATCGCGAGTGCTTCACCTGCACCCATTGCAACATTACGCTAGCTGGCCAGCGATTCACCAGCCGGGATGAGAAGCCTTACTGTGCCGAGTGCTTTGGCGAGCTGTTTGCCAAGCGATGCACGGCCTGTGTGAAGCCCATAACAGGTGGGTTGAATATATATCCTTTTTACTAAAGGAATCTATATAAATTATATTCTTTATAGGCATTGGCGGCACACGCTTCATCTCGTTCGAGGATCGCCACTGGCATCACGATTGCTTCGTGTGTGCCAGCTGCAAGGCCAGCCTGGTAGGAAGGGGCTTCATCACCGACGGACCCGACATCCTGTGCCCCGACTGCGCCAAGCAGAAGCTGATGTAAGTCCCAGAGTCAGGTGGCAGGATGCAGGAGTCGGAAGTCAGGAGGACCAGGAGGAGAAGGCGAAGCAGCCAACATTAGCCATAAACAAATTCAACGAAATTATGGATCAAATCAGAGGGATACAAGTGGTAGAACGATGAGGAGGAATATATAAAATACAGATGTATTAAAACGATATACAAGAGAAGATAATGCCTTACACTTACATTAGGAATGGGAGAACCTAGCTGAAGCATCGAATTGAGGATGTGTCCTATACTAAAACTAAATCAAAAGCAAATCAAATTTTGTAAAATTCAAGTCGATAGAGTTAGCTAAAAGAAAATGTAGGATTACTGCGCTTTATCTTCACGCGAGTAGACCAGCACATCGGATTGTATAGATACTTATTATTTGTAATTGCATTTCAGAACGAAATCAAAATCACTAAAAGAGAAAAAAAAACATGGAAAACCCAAGCAAAAAACAACGCAAAAAAAATCTACAGAACCAATTGTAACTATTGTTGCCACATTGAAAAATGTATGTTTATTTATTTATTTTAAGTTTTAACCAAGCGACCGAATGAGATGAAAGTTTCCTAACCGCAGGTTTCAGTTCTAAACAGTTTTATTGTATTAAAAAACCACACGGTTTATGTTTGATATGTATTGTATGTTTATTAAACAGCAACAAAAAACAACACGCGCACACACACAGACACAGACACATGTCCTAGCAATTTAATTGTTTAGTTTATATTACTTTTGTTTCGATATTTTGGTCATTCTCTACGTATGTTAGAGAATCCGCTTACTTTGAGCACTAAAACCAACACACACAATACACACACGCTCGCAAAACACACAAAAAATAATAATGATAATTGCGACACAACATTATATCAATGTCCTTAACTATTTAATGAAATTCAATCTAAATAAATTAATAAATTATCAAGGAAATGTTTTTGTGGTGTTTTTAAATGTGGTTTTAGAAGGGGAATATCTTAATATTTGTTTATCATGTAAGCAAATTTTAAATCGATATATAAAAATTTAAATTTTTAAAAAGTCGTTTTCTATTTGGAGTGTGACCAGGCGCTTATTTGTGCATTGCCAGCTTTTTATTTAAAGCTGCCAGACTACCCAACTGAGATAAATACGATGTCCAAAACTTGATTTTACATTATGTTAACGGTTACTTTTTGGGGCTATTAACATTAAATAAATTTAAACAAAATCTATACGGGTTTTGGTGCAAATAAGGGCAAAAAACAAGTAACATGTTTAACATTTTACTTATACAGCCCAAGAAGGAAGCAAGTGCAATCTCATTTAATAATTTATGGAATGTTTACTTAAGTCTGGTTCTTTAACACAAAAGAAAACAAAAACACAAAGGCGTTCTTGAATAAACAAATGTCTTGACATTATTTTACTCTCTTTACAGATCCTTAATATTTAAATGTGTAAATACATTATCTCATCATCCTAAATAAGCTAAGTACATTATGAATCATCTTAATATCATCATGTTAGTACAACAATTCCTCTCTGAGGAATATAACACTTTCACTGCCCTGATAACTGAAGCGATATTGGCAATAAACTCTTCATAGTTCGTATAATTTCAGTGCCCACTGAAAAGAGAATAATACATATATAACAGAAAATTGACAAACAAATGCAAATGGGTAACTCAAACACAGTTGAAATGGCTCAAAACCAAAGCGCAGCGAGTGCTCAGAGCACGTCTCAAAGCTGGGATCGGTGTTTGGGTGTTCGGTGTTGGATATTGGCCATGTGCCAAGTGAAACAGCTTAACCAAACCGAACAAAGGCAAATACAAACAGAGCTCAATTACACTCAAGATGCGTACGAAAAAGTGGTAAAAATGTGTGTAAAATGTGGAAAAAGCGCAGTACTTGGAACAAGTTCGTTGGCCAAGGCGAAGCCAAAATTAGTGCAACCGCAGGCCAGGGCCAGAGCGGATCTTCTCCGGGAAAGCTTAATTACCGACGAGATGCAGGTGCTCTACATGACGCTGGGACTGGTGCTCCTCTCTGCAACCAATCTTCAGGCGGCCATTCTTCCGCTGACCCTAATCAAGGAGAGCGTGGATTTCAATCAGGCTTTACCCATGGATACAGAAAAGTTTGGATATCTGGAGGTCAAGCCCAATGGATCGTTGTTTTTAAGGAGAACGCCCAATCAAAGTGGCAATAACCTGCAGAACCTTCTAATGCTACGAGGCATTCTTAAGGCCCTGAAGATCACCCCGTCACACATTTCCGAGGCCGGTGGGGAACCCAAGGTAGACCTAAAGATCTATGGAGACGGAGTGGAGCACAAGTTTCCACCGATTCTGGAGAACATCATTAGGCGCATTCAGACCTACTTCTCGGTCTATCGTTATACGGACACCAGTCAGCCCTTGCAGCGAGTGGAAATATCAACTCTACCGGCGGAGGAGTCTCCGGATGTGACCACTTTGCGACCCCAAGATGTGGATGATCTGATAGCCATAGGAGAACAGGATGCCTACATAGCCGTGGGCGACGATGCCGATCCCCTGCATCGCTCTATTTATTAAATATTTATGCCTCTAGCTGTGTAAGTCAATAAAAGTGCCAACCTTAAAAAACTTGTTGGACTCTTTTTCACCCTCATTGAGGGACTAGATCCATATCTGGGCACGTTCCGTGGTTACTTTGTATGCAGCCCTGCGGATTATGATTTTGTTTACCAGTCCGTGTAATTTGTGCAATATGTTTAATGTTGCCGGGGAATTCGCGGGACTGCGAACGAAACTCTCACCTTATTGCGGGCTTTTTGAGGGTCAGTGTCATTACATAATCTTAAAGACAAGTGCGAAAATACATTGATAAATTCAGTAATACAGTAAAAACAATAATAATTCATATAGTGGATTGTACTTAGCCAATTTTACGTTAAAGAAATTATAATGAATTTTAAATTTAAATACTAGAAACAAATCAATCTTCTGAAAGCCAAACTTTGCATACTCTTGCAGTTTGTTCATGGAATCGAATTGAAAATCAATCATTACGCTGTCAAAAGTACATTAATTCCAATGAAGAAAGCATTTCTTTGCTTTACTAGGCTAAGTATATTGCATTTAAAAATTTAAAAATTTAAATTTTCATTTATTTATTAAAAATTTTAATGATGTCACATCTTATAAGACTTTTAAAATTGCAGTTACATTTATTAACGATAGATTTCTATTATTTTATTCCTTGTTCATTAAGATTTTGGCTGTAAATCTAAATAAATATGGCCTTTGGCAATCATTGGCTTTGTCGTATACCTTCAAGAAAATCTAAAATATGTGTCTTTAATTAATAATTTTATATTGTAATTTTTTGGGTAAGTCTAAGTTTTTCAAAAATCATAACTAAGCCAAAAATGCATTAATTTTAATTTGGAAAGGTGTTATATGCTGGTTTTCAAATCTGCCAGGTTCAAATCTGCAGAAAAAAAAAACGATGTAAACCCTTATAAAATTTTCATATTTTGACAAAACTCGGAAAATTTAATTTTTCTTCTAGACATGCCTAGATAGATTGCCCTGTTGTTTCTGATCAAGAATATTTATGATTTATACGGTCGGAAATGATTCCTTCACTGCGTTTCAAACTTCTGCCTGAAACTAAACTCAGCAAAAAGGTATAAAAACAGACAATTTTCTTAAATAATCTGAGTTTTCCGAACATCATAATTAAGCCAAAACAGCATTAATTTTGATTCGAAAAGCTTTTCTGTGCAAGTTTGTATAGCACTAACAAATCTGCATACTGCGTTTGTTAATGCTGTTATAGGTTTCTGACTAAAATTATAGTAACCTGCAAAAAGGTATAAAAACAGACAATTTTTCCCAAAAATCATAGTTTAAAAAAACTCATTACTAAGCCAAAAAATCATTCATTTTAATTCGGAAAGCTGTTCTGTGCTAATTTTTAGTAGGTTAACAAAGCTGCATACTCAGTTTTCAAATTTAAAAAATTCAATTTTTGTCAAATTTTGGCAAATTTAATGATGTAACCCCTTATAAAATTTTCAATTTTCGGAAAAATGTCAAAAATTTATTTTTTGACCGAACATGGCTAGAACGACTGGGCAGTTGATGCTGATCAAGAATATATATGGTTTATAGGGTCGGAAATAACTCCTTCACTGCGTTTTAATCTTCTGACTGAAACTATACTCTGCAAAAAGGTATAAAAACAGACAATTTTCTTAAATGATCTGAGTTTTCCGAACATCATAATTAAGCCAAAACAGCATAAATTTTGATTCGGAAAGCTTTTCTGTGCAAGTTTTTATAGCACTAACAAATCTGCATACTGCGTTTGTTAATGCTGTTATAGGTTTCTGACTAAAATTATAGTAACCTGCAAAAAGGTATAAAAACAGACAATTTTTCCCAAAAATCATAGTTTAAAAAAACTCATTACTAAGCCAAAAAATCATTCATTTTAATTCGGTAAGCTGTTCTGTGCTAATTTTTAGTAGATTAACAAAGCTGCATACTCAGTTTTCAAATTTAAAAATTCAATTTTTGTCAAATTTTGGCAAATTTAATGATGTAACCCCTTATAAAATTTTCAATTTTCGGAAAAATGTCAAAAATTTATTTTTTGACCGAACATGGCTAGAACGACTGGGCAGTTGATGCTGATCAAGAATATATATGGTTTATAGGGTCGGAAATAACTCCTTCACTGCGTTTTATTCTTCTGACTGAAACTATACTCTGCAAAAAGGTATAAAAACAGACTATTTTCTTAAATAATCTGAGTTTTCCGAACATCATAATTAAGCCAAAACAGCATAAATTTTGATTCGGAAAGCTTTTCTGTGCAAAATCTGCATACTGCGTTTGTTAATGCTGTTATAGGTTTCTGACTAAAATTATAGTAACCTGCAAAAAGGTATAAAAACAGACAAATTTTCCCAAAAATTATACTTTAAAAAAACTCATAACTAAGCCAAAAAATCATTCATTTTAATTCGGAAAGCTGTTCTATGCTAATTTTTAGTAGATTAACAAAGCTGCATACTCAGTTTTCAAATTTAAAAAATTCAATTTTTGTCAAATTTTGGCAAATTTAATGATGTAACCCCTTATAAAATTTTCAATTTTCAGAAAAATGTCAAAAAATTATTTTTTGACTGGACTTGGCTAGAACGACTGGGCAGTTGATGCTGATCAATAATATATATGGTTTATAGGGTCGGAAATAACTCCTTCACTGCGTTTTAATCTTCTGATTGAAACTATACTCTGCAAAAAGGTATAAAAACAGACAATTTTCTTAAATAGTCTGAGTTTTCCGAACATCATAATTAAGCCAAAACAGCATTAATTTTGATTCGGAAAGCTTTTCTGTGCAAGTTTGTATAGCACTAACAAATCGGCATACTGCGTTTGTTGATGCTGTTATAAGTTTCTAACTAAAATTATGATAACCTACAATAAGGTATAAAAACAGACAATTTTTCCCAAAAATCATGGTTAAAAAAAACTCATAACTAAGCCAAAAAATCATTAATTTTAATTCGGAAAGCTGTCCTATGCTAATTTTTAGTAGATTAACAAAGCTGCATACTCAGTTTTCAAATTTAAAAAATTCAATTTTTGTCAAATTTTGGCAAATTTAATGATGTAACCCTTATAAAATTTTCAATTTTCGGAAAAATGTCAAATAAATTTTGATTCGGAAAGCTTTTCTGTGCAAGTTTTTATAGCACTAACAAATCTGCATACTGCGTTTGTTAATGCTGTTATAGGTTTCTGACTAAAATTATAGTAACCTGCAAAAAGGTATAAAAACAGACAATTTTTCCCAAAAATCATAGTTTAAAAAAACTCATTACTAAGCCAAAAAATCATTCATTTTAATTCGGAAAGCTGTTCTGTGCTAATTTTTAGTAGATTAACAAAGCTGCATACTCAGTTTTCAAATTTAAAAAATTCAATTTTTGTCAAATTTTGGCAAATTTAATGATGTAACCCCTTATAAAATTTTCAATTTTCGGAAAAATGTCAAAAATTTATTTTTTGACCGAACATGGCTAGAACGACTGGGCAGTTTATGCTGATCAAGAATATATATGGTTTATAGGGCCGGAAATAACTCCTTCACTGCATTTTAATCTTCTGACTGAAACTAAACTCTGCAAAAAGGTATAAAAACAGACAATTTTCTTAAATAATCTGAGTTTTCCGAACATCATAATTAAGCCAAAACAGCATTAACTTTGATTCGGAAAGCTTTTCTGTGCAAGTTTTTATAGCACTAACAAATCTGCATACTTCGTTTGTTAAGGCTGTTATAAGTTTCTGACTAAAATTATAATAACCTCCAAAAAGGTATAAAAACAGACAAATTTTCCCAAAAATCATAGTTTAAAAAAACTCATAACTAAGCCAAAAAATCATTCATTTTAATTCGGAAAGCTGTTCTGTGCTAATTTTTAGTAGATTAATTTAAAAAATTCAATTTTTGTCAAATTTTGGCAATTTTAATGATGTAACCCCTTATAAAATTTTCAATTTTCGGAAAAATGTCAAAAAATTATTTTTTGACTGGACTTGGCTAGAACGACTGGGCAGTTGATGCTGATCAATAATATATATGGTTTATAGGGTCGGAAATAACTCCTTCACTGCGTTTTATTCTTCTGATTGAAACTATACTCTGCAAAAAGGTATAAAAACAGACTATTTTCTTAAATAATCTGAGTTTTCCGAACATCATAATTAAGCCAAAACAGCATAAATTTTGATTCGGAAAGCTTTTCTGTGCAAGTTTGTATAGCACTAACAAATCGGCATACTGCGTTTGTTGATGCTGTTATAAGTTTCTAACTAAAATTATGATAACCTACAATAAGGTATAAAAACAGACAATTTTTCCCAAAAATCATGGTTAAAAAAAACTCATAACTAAGCCAAAAATCATTAATTTTAATTCGGAAAGCTGTCCTATGCTAATTTTTAGTAGATTAACAAAGCTGCATACTCAGTTTTCAAATTTAAAAAATTCAATTTTTGTCAAATTTTGGCAATTTTAATGATGTAACCCCTTATAAAATTTTCAATTTTCGGAAAAATGTCAAAAATTTATTTTTTGACTGGACATGGTTAGAACGACTTGGAAGTTGATGCTGATCAAGAATATATATGGTCTATAGGGTCGGAAATAACTCCTTCACTGCGTTTTATTCTTCTGATTGAAACTATACTCTGCAAAAAGGTATAAAAACAGACTATTTTCTTAAATAATCTGAGTTTTCCGAACATCATAATTAAGCCAAAACAGCATAAATTTTGATTCGGAAAGCTTTTCTGTGCAAGTTTTTATAGCACTAACAAATCTGCATACTGCGTTTGTTAATGCTGTTATAAGTTTCTGACTAAAATTATAATAACCTGCAAAAAGGTATAAAAACAGACAAATTTTCCCAAAAATCATAGTTTAAAAAAACTCATAACTAAGCCAAAAAATCATTAATTTTAATTCGGAAAGCTGTTCTGTGCTAATTTTTAGTAGATTAACAAAGCTG